TAGCTAGCTGCCAAATCAAATGTATAGTCTCCTAAAGAGTAGATTATAACCTACATATTCGACTGGAGAATTGGCAAGAGCGGTAAACACCGATTTGACTGTAGAGTCAACTACAAAGTGGAGAAGGTACTTCATTATTGAGGCGACTGATTGTTTTTAGAATGTTGACTTTTGAGTAGAATGCAATGTCATCCAAATAGTCGAATATAAAGTACACTACAGAATCGACTATAAGCGTTAAATTTAACACAATACGGATTATAGGACAGTAGGGTCGACTAAATAATTTCTTTATTTCAGGCTTACAAAACAAGTTGTTCTAAATTTTTAACAAATAGATATAATGACAACTAAATTTTTAAAATATTCCTAAATTAAACTTTCCCGCTTGCGGTTTTCTTTATTTTAATTGGATTTTTTTCATTAAGCAATTTGTATTTTTGTTCTCAAGCTTGAACTTTTTACTATTATTGTGAATTTTGCTTTATTTTAGTTATTGTTGTGCTATAAATGTACTTTTTTCCATTCTACAGGAAATAATAAAAAATCTAAATTTAATTCCGGTCATAACAAAGGAACATATTTGTATATGGGCTTAAATAACAACAAAAACAAAAAACAGAGTTTCCACAATTACAAGAATTTCTATTAAGATGTCACCTGCATGCATTAAACTTTAGGATATTTGGCATAAAATGTTACAGAATTGATAATCATACACATTTTGTAATTTAATAATAAACTCTTTTCAATATTTTCAACAATTTATGATATTTTTATTACACTCTCTTAAGATAAATTATGCCAAATATAATTTTAATTAACATATTATCATTTAACACACACCTGTTGTTGCTTTACCTTCCCTTTAAAAATAAAATAAGTGTTTATTACTTAACAAGTATGTGGCAACACTTGAAAATGTTTATAGACAGACATTGAGTTGGACTGTTGTTGTGTTTTTTTTTATATGCGAGATTAAATACTTAAATATTTGTACTAATGTGTATGTATGTATTTTTAATTTCCGTTTGAGCGGTTTTTACCTAACAAGTAAAGTATTGTTTTGAAATTAAAAAATCAAAACAAAAGTGTTGTTATTGTATGTTGTTGTCTATTGTAAAGTGTACAATGGGGAGTTTTAGGTTTTATAGCTCTAATAGAAGATCATTCATTAGAGTAATGAGAGAAGTAACATGGGAATTTCAATTTTAAATTAAATTCTAAAAAGTTTTTGTAGTTTATAGTATTTTTTTTAATAAATAGTATAAAATTCTTGAAAGAATTAATTATTGTTTTAAAATTTGGAAGTAAATATTTATAACAACAATAAAGTCGACACATGTATGTATAAAATGGTGTCGAAATGGTGTCCATTAAAATATAAAAAACGACATTTTTACATTTATTAAATCTATCTATCTATCTATCTATCTATCTATCTATCTATCTATCTATCTATCTATCTATCTATCTATCTATCTATCTATCTATCTATCTATCTATCTATCTATCTATCTATCTATCTATCTATCTATCTATCTATCTATCTGAATATGCCGACTAACGTAATTTAAAACATTTGACAATGATATGCATATATCAGTGATGTCAACAATGTCTTTTTCCAAACGTCAAACTTGCACTCCATTTACATAGGTTTTGCGTTCATTTCCTTAAAAAACACATTCACTTTTTATTTTAATTTGAAATTATCATTTAAAAGTCTATTCTTTACAGTTAAAATACAATGGAAGCTATTGTTAAATATTCATCTAATATACAAATGATGATCATGTTAAATTTTATCTAACATCTAACTATCAAAGTTACACATAAAATATTCTATTCTAATTTTTATTGTTATTGCGTTTCAACAAAAATTTTATTTACGAGTAGAGTGACAGTAAAGCTCCGCGGGTTATAAAAAATATGATTCATGATTGAATTGAATAGAGTAGAATACATCAAAACAATATTGTGTGATTTTTGCGTTTTGTTTTTACAAAATTCAACGTTTCAACTTGTCATTTATTGTTGTTGAACTTTTTAATTTGCATTTTATTTGCTACTGTTTTCTGTTATTTTTATTTATTTTTGTTTTATTTGTATTAATGATGAGTTTTGTTGAGAATTCTCAATGAGTATTTGGATATATCGAGTGTTTTTTAATTCTATATGGGGGCAATTCTTATTTGCGTTGGTTTTTTTTATTTTTTTCGAAATTCAAGCACGTTTTTAAAGATGAGTCTTTGACTGCTGCATTTTTTATTTATTTAAATAATGTTTATTTTATTTGTACTTAAAATTTTTGCATGATTTGAAATTTGCTTTTTTCTTTCTTTACTTCAAATAAATTACGTAATTAAAATAAACTGGAAAAGTATGACTAGTTCAAATGTGTATGGGTTATAAAGTGCAAAATTAATTTTTAAATAAAATTAAATAAATAAAAGTAGAACAGAGTTTATAGTATTTTTAAATTCATAAAATTTTAAGATAAACTTTTCATGACTCTATGCAGAGTGCCTAAATAAAGTTTTAATTCATTCAAGGCGAATAAACAGCTGATTTGTTTTTAATTAAAATTTATTTGGGACTGTCAAACTCTATTCTACTGTTGCCATATTTTCATATAATTATTACACTGACAATGATGAAGTTAATCAATAATGACAATTGTAGTGCAAAAACAAGGACAAAAATTGAATGTGAAATAGTTTGACTTGTTGAAATTTAATTAAGTTTAAATCTTTTTTTTAATCTTTTCATTCAGAAAACTGTCAACGTTTTGATTTCTTCTAAAATATTTAAGATTTCTTTTTAAAAATGATTATTTATAGAAAATAATCTGCCGCCATTTATTCTAAACAAAACAAGTGAGTGAGTGTACATTATTATTATTATTATTTAGTACTTGTACGAACAGTTTGGTTGAATCATATCTGATGAAGTCATACCACATCCATCCATCCCTCCTCCTATACAAATGCATCAAGCGTAAAGTTTTTTTGTTTTAAATTTCAACTTCTTTCAAGTCCACAGAATACGGAGCAAATAAATATAATAATAAAATGCTGCCCTTTGTTTATAATATTACAAATTTTAGTTTTGTTGTTTTTAACTGTTGAAATATGAATCATTTTGGAGTCAAGTCAGTCCGTCAATTGTTGCACAGACATTGTTTGCAATTTTTTTTATAATTGAAATTTAAGACGTTGGATATGTGCCATATAACTAAGTTATTTATAGAATTTAAAATAAATTTAATACAATTATATAAAATGTAATATAATATTGTTCATTTGCAGCAAGAAAGTCATAACTGAAAATTCTCTATGGCAAATTTAAGTTAAACTTCTGTCGAAAAGCATAAATGTATAATCTGAACTATAGTCTGGACTATTGTCTGCACTATAGTCTGGACTATAATCTGCTCTATAGTCTGAACTATAGTCTAGACTATAGTCTAGACTTTAATCTGCACTATAGTCTGGACTATAGTCTTCAATAATGTTTGCACTACAGTCTGGACTATAGACTGTTGACTGAAATCATGTGATAGCTATAAAAATGCGTAATACCGATTTCAGTGTCAAATTTAAATATTAACCTTTAAATATACGTATTTTATATATTTAAAAAACACTGTTAATTTTTTGCAATAAATAATCAACTTAAAAAATAAATATTTAAAATACATAGTAAATATTTTGTGCACATAAACAAATGTAAGTTAACCAAAATTTTATTATTTAAACCAGTCAGAAAACGCTAAACTATTCGATTAGCACATAAATAAATAAGTAATGTTTATCGACTGTAAAATACTATTAATATTTATACAATAAACTACAATTTGGAAGTGAAAAACATAGTTAAATAAAATATTTAACTATATGTTGCAAATAAATACAAGTTGCACAAGTATTTAATGGAATTTTTTGTTAAAGTAAATACAAAAAAAAAAAAAAAAAAACGAGAGAAACTTAAAATATTTTATTTTAAAATACATACTTTAGTTTAAACATTAGTAAAAGGTGCTAAACTCTAGCAAACAAATTTGCTAACAAATTAATTTTTTGAAATACATTTCCAAAAGAAAAATAAATAAATTAAAAATTAACATAAATATGTGATATATAGGAAAAAACTGCAGTTGAAATATTCGCCATAATAAACGGAAGTTAATGTCTTAAGAAAAACTCCCTTTTTCTAAGAAAATTTAACATACAATATGTTAAGTTATAGGAAATTATAAATACCACCCTCGTATTTGCAGAAAAAAAAAAACGTAAAATGATTTACTTTTTATAGACAATAAAACCGGTACGTGTGAACCATTTTTTGACATTTGCTTCCTTATTATTATTGTCTTTTATGTTTATGCACTACTACTCTATAGCCTAGTATAGAGGCTGCCTTGCCAGCTTCATTATCATACCATATTTATTTATTCATTTGAAAAATTACCTTTTTAATTTAGTTTTCATGCTACATGCCATTTTATATAGGGGATTTTTTGCCATTGTATTTAATATATTATGAGAAATTAATTCGTACACAATAATTAAAATTTATCATTTGTGGAAGACTTTTAAAAGATAAACTTCTAAGTTCTTAAAATCGTGTGATAGTTTAGTGTGTCAAAAAGTTAATTTAGTGTGGGAATGTTTAAGCAGGGGGTTAACACTCATTGATTGTTTTCAAATCTGGCAGCTCTACATATGTACATACTAATTGACAGTTTGTTGACACTCACTTTAAAATGATAGTAGTAAATTGTTTACTGAAAAATTTAACTTTAAACGATTTTTTATTGACTTTCTGGGTAAAGAAAGATTAACTAATATCTTTCAAAGTAAAAAAAATTTAAAAAATATACTTATTATTGATAAAAAATAAGTCAAAACAAAATCTTTTACTTTTTACATTTCCAATTATATAATATATAAAATATTATATAAAAGTTTTCTATAAAATATAAATGATTACATATTTAAACAAATTACACGTTTTGTAAATACAAAACAAAAATTATAAACAATAATGATAAACCAACCAAAAGAGTTTAAAATGAATTCATAGGCAATTTATAAAATTCTAAAGTTTAATTTTTAAATTAATCTCCACAAGTTTAAACTCTAGTTTAATTTAAAACTGCATAAACTAAACTTAATAATTATTTACTATTTTCTCATGTATTAATTTTCCATTAAACTTTTTTTTAAAGATTTTTTAATTAAAAAAAAACGTATAACTAATGTTTTTATTACATCTGCAAAATGCACTAAGAAAAACAATTATTAAAAGAAGAGTAAAAAAGTGTTTATAAATAGTTTGTAATAAATAAACATTTGAAAAATTTGGATGAGTGATTTTAATAGTGATAGTAAAATGTTTGCACACCATAAACACTTTCTTTTTTTTTTTTTGCTGTTTGTTTTAATGAAAACCAATATAAATTTGTATTAGTTTTATGTTTTAAGGTTTAATATAATGCAAAAATATTTAATAAATTTATTTGCAAAATTTATGGAAAATTTGTTTAACATGATGCTAGTGGATTTTCCTCATTTCTTACGCATAAAGCGTGAGATTTTAAAGAAAAAAATATTGGAATATTGTAATAAAATTATAGTAAATATTTTTTTTAATAATTACGATTAAATGCGATAATTTTTTTGATAAAAATTAAATAATACTAACCAAACCACTCCTCACTTAATGTTGCACTGTTGTTGCTATTATTTTCAATATTTTTCTCATGATTACATTTATTTTTATTATTAAAATAATTATTATTATTATTGCTATTATTATTTGTTGAAAAACTTTTCACACCAAATATATAAGTTTGTTTTATTTTATCAGCTATAGATGAACTACTATTACTATTATTATTCAACTTTGTTTCATTTTTATTTTTGGTTTTATGCAAATTTAAATTATTCGTAGAATTGCTATTAACATACGAAACTTTGGTATTATCAGCTGACGATGACAAGGTAATGTTGCCATTATTATTTTTATTATTATTATTACTGTTTATATTATAAATATTTTGTTGCTGCTGCTGTTGATTTATATTATTGTTATTTACACGTACACTATTGCGATATAATTTACGAGCCGATCGTAAAAAACTCAATAGACGAGTATCGGAGGAGGCATAACATTTGTTATTGTTATAGGCCGAGGAATTGACACTGAAACCGTTAACCAGAAATATGGATGTAGCTCCCGATATTGTTTTGGGCGTGGTAGGTTTTAAAGCCGCTGAATTACATTTATTGAGATTATAAAATGTATTAAGATAATTTGTTTGAGATTTTTGTTGTTGATTATTTGGTACCGAGTTTAGACTACTGGTGGCCGTTAAAGGTTTATGTTTGTGGCGTCCCGTATAGCTGTGACTTTTATGTTGCTGTAATTCTTTGTGTGTTACAGAACTGGCACTACGTTTTAAACTAGTGCAATGATTGACAGAGGAGGATGAGTTACGCGAGAAACCCAAATCACTTTTATAAGAACAACCCGGTATCGATTGTCTATCACTTGAGGATTGTTTACACCAATAGATTTTATTATTGCCAAAATAATATCTTCTACGATTATCACCTTTAGGCGTACGAGGTCTTTTGGCGCGATTATTGTAGTTACTACTCGTGGAAGATTTCTGACTGCTGCTACTAAGGCGTGGAGAAGATTGTGAATTTAATTGCTGGAATTTATCATAATCTAAAATTGTGGTTAAAGATTTATCTTTATCACTATTAAACGTATTGGCCGGTGAAGACGATGTCGAGGTGTTAGTTGAAGTAGAATCTGTTGCTGACGACGACGTTGTATCTTGTGGATGTATTGTATCGATTGTTGTTGTAGTCGATGTCGATGATGTTGGTGCCGTTGCGGAGGTCAAAAATGAATTGGTTTGTATGAATACACCATCACAGGTAATTTTGATTGTTGTCACCATGATTTTTGTTACAAAACATATTTGATTGTTTTTAAGTCATCTTTAGCAGTGTTATGTTTAAGATATCATATTGTTATATGTTTTAAGGTAGGAACTAAAATATATAAATTACTTATATATAAATTTGTTTGCCCAGTTTTTATCTACTTCGGTGACGGTATTTAAACCATGAATTAAAGTTTAAATATCTATCTGTCCTTCTATATATCTATCTATCTATCTATCTATCTATCTATCTATCTATCTATCTATCTATCTATCTATCTATCTATCTATCTATCTATCTATCTATCTATCTATCTATCTATCTATCTATCTATCTATCTATCTATCTATCTATCTATCTATCTATCTATCTATCTATCTATCTATCTATCTATCTATCTATCTATCTATCTATCTATCTATCTATCTATCTATCTATCTATCTATCTATATATATATCTATCTAAACCTCGACGATATAAACAAATTTTAAATTTAAACAAATTGCAAATTAAGTAACTAAAATAAGCTTTCGCAAGATTAATTAAAAACAACATTTTTATTTAATTTTCTTCTTTTCGGTCTGAATGATTTAAAAAACATTATTTTCTTTTTATTTCAGTTTTTTTGTTTGAAATTTTATTTAATTCACTTTGAACTACTTTAAGGTTAATAAACTTTTAAACTTGAACGATTTTTGGTTTTAACACAACAACAAAAGGTACTTGCTTTTGGGTGTCTTAAGATCTTCATTATTATGGTTGGTATAAACTAACAATGAAATTAAACAAAAATTAACTTAAAAAAAATAAATTTCCAAACAAAAACTAACTACAATTCGTGTAAATTGTATTGTTATTGTTTACAATTATGCTCGAGCGAGAAAGAGGGAGAGTGTGAACAACTAACTGTATATTGTGGTGTAATATTGTGGTAATTCTGCTTCTATTTCTTACAAAAATATGTCACAAGTAGTGTGACACCCATCACAAAAACAAAACAAAGAAGCAGAAGATTTTCTAAGACAAACAACAACAATTACAAATATACATTGTCAAATTAACAATGTTGGTAACTTGAAAATAATGTTAAAACATAAAAATCGAGTTAACGTGGTATGAAGGCGACGAGTGTAGAAAAAAATATGAAATAAAATCAATTTGTATGAAATTCAAGTCACTTGACTTGAATTTTTGTTCATACACATAAAAAAAAGGCAAGACAATATAAAATGGAAAACTAAAACGACATACATTTGACTATTGTTTTTGCTGCTGTTGTTGGTATTTCTAAACTAGGTGTTGTAAAAAAAAACACAACAAACTAAAACAACATCAAACATTGAAAGTGTGTGGTGCTGCTCTAGTTTTTTTGGTTCGTTTACATTTAAACAATTTTTTTCTATATATTTTATATATAAATAATAAAAAATAAATATGTATGTACAAAAAAATAACAATAAAGTTATGATTGAGGACAATTAAACATGAACTAAATTTGTTTTAAACATTTTATGCTTGTAAATACATTTAGACTAATTTTGCTTTCTAAGAATTCATTTAGAAATCTATAAAATGAAAAATAAGAATTCTCACAAAAAACATAAAAAATGCTTTAAAATTTCACACTTAAATTTTAATGAAGAAATAGGTTAAATGCAGTAGTAATAATTTCTTAATGCAGCAGTTCTAGTTTTTATACCCACCATCAAAAAAGATGGGGGGTATATTGTTTTTGTCATTCCGTTTGTAACACATCGAAATATTCATCTAAGACCCATAAAAGTATATATATTCTGGATCCTTATTAAATTCTAAGACGATCTAGCCATGTCCGTCCGTCTGTCCGTCGGTCCGTCTGTCTGTCCGTCTGTTGAAAACACGATAGAGGCCAAACGGAAGCAGCTAGCGAGCTGAAATTTTGCACAAATATTTTATATTAATGCAGTTTGTTTGGTATTGAAAATGAGCAATATCGGTCCACGATTTCTCCTAGCCCCCATATAAGGTCCCCTTCAGAAAACGACTTTAACGCTCATAACTGACTAAAAGAAACATCTATAGCGATGAAATTCGACATGAACATATTTTACAGGAACCTTAATATCATTGTAAAATTTTTTAAGGATCGGTCCATAATTGACCCTATCCCCCATATAAGGTCCCCCTCTGAAAATGATATTAACGCTCATAACTGACTAAACGAAGCAGCTATAGCAATGAAATTCGACACAAGAACATATCTTATAGGAATCTTAATATCACTGTAAAATTTTATAAGGATCGGTCCATAATTGACCCTATCCCCCATATAAGGTCCCCCTCAGAAAATGACATTAACGCTCATAACTATCTAAAAGAAGCAGCAATAGCGAAGAAATTCGACATAAACTATTTTTATAGTATTCTTAAAATTATTGTAAAATTTTATAAGGATCGGTCCATAAATTACCCTATCCCCCATATAAGGTCCCCCTCAGAAAATGACATTAACGCTCATAACTGACTAAAAGAAGCAGCTATAGCGATGAAATTCGACACAGACATATTTTTTAGGAACCTCAATATCTTTGTAAAATTTTATAAGGATCGGTCCATGATTGACCCTACCCCCCATATAAGGTCCCCTTCAGAAAATGCCATTAACGCTCATAACTGTTTAAAATAAGCATCTATAGCGATGAAATTCGGCATAAACATATTTTATAGGAACCTTAATATCATTGTAAAATTTTATAAGGAACGGTCCACAATTGACCCTATCCACCATATAAAGCCCCCCTCAGAAAGTGACATTAACGCTCATAACTGACTAAAAGAAGCAGTTATAGCGTTGAAATTCGACACAAATATATTTTATAGGAACCTTAATATCTTTATAAAATTTTATAAGGATCGGTCCATAATTGACCCTATCCCCCATATAAGGTCCCCTTCAGAAAATGGATTTAAGGCTCATTACTGTCTAAAAGAAGCATCTATAGCGATGAAATTCGACACGAACATATTTTATAGGAACTTTAATATTATTGTAAAATTTTATAAGGATCGGTCCATAATTGACATTAACCCGTCTCCATCTGAAAATGGCTTTAACTCTCGTTCTAGAAAATTTGACGAGGATCGGTCCATAATTGACCAAACGTCCCCCCCCCCCCCCTAAATAAGGTCCCTCTCAGAAAATAACTTAAACGCTTTTTACTACCTTAAAAATGCAAGTATAGCGACAAAATTCGACAAAAATTTCTTTATACATAGATGTAATAAATGAGAAAATTGTTTGGATAATAAAAGCATGGATTCTTAAATATCAAAGTTTATTTATAAGGAAGCATTCCTTTTTGGCAATGATTTGATGGTGGGTATACAAGATTCGGCACAGCCGAATATAACACTCTTACTTGTTATATATGAAAATAGTTGGTTGGCATCATTGCTTTATGTCAGTTGTTTGCCAGTGATGCCATTATAATATCAATGATATTGTTTGTCCCTCACTAGTGATATCACAAATTTGTATCACAACATAAAGTGATAGTGACTAAAATGGAAAAATTTTCAGCATAGACCAGAATATTTAAAAAAAAATATTCGATAAATTTTTTTAAGAGAAGTTTTAATAAGTTTTAAGATCTAAAGAGAAATTTTCGTAAATTTTGTTATTTAAAGAAAATTTTCTTGAACTTAATTTTCTTCTTAAAGAGAATTTTCAAAAAATGTTCTTTTTTAAGAGAATTTTTGATAAAATTTATTTTAATAAAATTTTTTATTTAAAGAGAATTTTTGATGAATTTTCATTTTAAAGAGAATTTTCGATACAATTTCCATTTAAAGAATATTTTCGATAAATTGATCAATTTTCTTTTAAATAGAATTTTCGATAAATTTTCTTTTTAAAGGAAATTTTCGATAAAATTTCTTCTAATAGAGAATTTTCGATAAATTTTATTTTTTAAGAGCATTTTCGATAAATTTTCTTTTTAAAGAGAATTTTCAATAAATTTTCTTTAAAATAGAATTTTCGTTAAAATTTTTTTTAAAGAGAATTTTCGAAAAAATTTCTTTTTAAAGAGAATTTTGGAAAAATTTCTTTAGAGAGAATTTTCGACAAATTTTCTTTTAAAAGAGAATTTTTGAAAAACTTTCATTTTAAGGAGAATTTTCGATAAAAATTTCTATTTAAAGAGGAAATTCTAAAAGTTTTGTTTTTAAAGAGAATTTTCGATAAAATTTCTTTTTAAAGAGAATTTTCGATAAATTTTCTTTTTAAGGAAAATTTTCGATAAATTTTCTTATAAAAGATAATTTTCGATAAAATTTCTGATTAAAGAAAATTTTTTCAATTTTTAATAAGGATTTAAATAAAATTTTCTATAAAGTCTCCATATAAAGTAAATTTTCGAAAAATTATCAATTTAGAGAAAATATACCACAAATTTGTCTTAGTTTTAATATTTTCTATGAAAAGTCACAATGTTAACATTTCATTGTGAATGAACACACATTTTCTCTGAGAAACGTCTAAGCAAGTTCTTGTTACCTTCTACACATAAGCAAATTTAGACTTACATTTTTTAAAGGAATACTTCAAAATATTTAGATTCCCATATAAAATGCATAAAAATTAAGTGTAAACTTGAACTTAATCTCAAATTTGCTTAAATAAGGTACGTTCCCATCCTAAAAACTTACAAACAAATTGCAAGAAACGTAAATTATGATGTGATTATGAAATATTTATAAGGGGAACACACAACTGCCATCATTTTTAAAGACACCACAAACTATATAATAAATTTAAATATGTAGACAAGGAAATTATTGCCACAGTTTCCGTGGTAAACAGGGTTTTAAAGTAAACGACGAAAAAAAGAAACAATTAAGACAAAATATAACAGCAAAAAAAAACCTAAACTTAATTTGTAGTTGGATATTTGATGTAATAATGAAAAAATAATTTACAACTTAAAAGAGACATAAACTACTACCATTTATTAATTTTTTTTTAATCTTTTTAAAAGCTCATTTTGGTTTATTTGTGTGTGAAACCTAAACAAAACATTTAAATTAACATTTTTTAAACCAAAAAATAAAATAAACTTTAAAACCA